CTATTAACAATATCCCAGTTGTCTTCAGAGAGTCCACATCTTCTCTTACTCTTATTCCATATGCTTCAACTGGAGTCAACAACATTTCCTAATAAATGAGGTAGGCATGCAATTCAGGACTGAAAAATCAGAGTACAGGACACCCCAAGGATGTGATATAATTCAGTGAGAGAGTTCAATGAGTCTCTCAAGAGAACACCTCTATCTTCATTTAAACTTTAAAGTAAATAAATCTGGTTGGTCCAGTCCTGCCACATGGTGAGTGCAAATGAAACTGACCTAGCAAAGATGAAAGAAACTTTGTCCCAATGTCATCATTTATACTTCTTCCAAACATTTCAGAAATAAAATGCTTAAAATTCCCCTTGCATCTTAAGTTAATCTGATTGGCTTTCACGAAACTTAAAGCAACAAATATTAGCTAATACAGCTGATATTTGCCAAGTCCTTGTATATGTTTTAAAGAATTATTTTATTTGATGTTATTTATTTATTTATTTTAAGTAGACCAGAGAGGAAGAGAAAGCAAGAGAGAAAGTGAGAAAGCAAGCTGACTGGTCCAGGACTTGAACCATGGTCAGCCATGTGGGAGTCCAGTTCCCTTAGCCATTACACTGGCTGCCGGCCTCCGAGAGTCCTGTATTTTAGTAGCACACTTTTTAACATTTAAACCATAAAGTGCCTATTAATATCGATCTTAAATCTCAATATGTTTTTCCTTAAAAATATTAAAATGGGGGACCAGCAAGTGGTATAATGGTTATGTCACTGGACTCCCACATGGCCAACCAAAATCGAGTCCCAGACCCAGAGGCTACATGCTGGCTGCATGTGCATGCGTGCCCAAAATACTGACAGGAGAATAGAGGAGAAGGGATTGTAGTGTGACCATCCTTCCAAACGGAGGGGGATGTGATTTCTCACTTTCTGTCTATCTATCTCTTTGGCTAGCGCACACACCCTATAGCAAAAATCTCTCAAAATATACTAGTATTCCACTACCAAATTTGTTAATAGTTGCTGGTATATTTCTCTATATCCTCTAAAAAATAATGTCCCAACTAAAGGAGTAGACCAGTCCTGGTAGGTTAATAAAGAAACCTGAGGGCAAGGAAGCATAAAAGCTCCTGATCCCTTATTCTATAGACAGAACTGCTGTTATAGATTTCATTCTAGTCAACAAGACTAGAATAGAAATGGAATATACTTGAAGTTAAAAAAGTACAAACTGTTTTTATTAGATATTCCCATAGAATGAAGTTAATTTGATAAATCACAGTATAAGGTTTGAATGATCATACCTACAGGTTTACTGTCTAGGGACATAGTCTGATCTAGATGGTAGATAAGGTCTTGCAAAATGTTATATTTGAATCTCTATTTTTCATGAGATTATTATTAATTTAACAGAATTGTTCTTGAAAAGACAGAGCAACCTAATCTCCCAGAGATTTTTCCCAGTTAAGTATTTCTACACAATACTGCCTTGTGGCTATAAATAAAAGAAAGGTAGGTTTAGGCTAATGAAATAGACTGGTGTCTCTCATACTGATCCTCCATCTGAAACCAAGCAAGGACCCCCTAAAGTATTTCCTAAGGCTCTTGAAATATAAGGTCCATTTACATTGTAATGGCCTAGAGTAAGGAGTAAGTCTTCAGACTTTAGTTACCATAATGAACCATTAACCATAAATAACGGCCATTTGACCTCTAAAACTCTCACTTAGAAGAAAGATAAAGTTTTCATTTCAATATGTAAGATGTAGGTTGGAAACTGCTAGCTGTGAGCTCAAAGTCCCTAAGCTGAATGACTTCAGAAACCTGAAGAGAAATGTGATTGTCTAAGGCCTCACCAATCAAGAATGCCCATGAGATGATAATGTCTTCTTGAACCAATCACTGAACTGATCAGGCACCTGGGACCTCTGCCTTAATTTTGCCCTTAAAAATGCATGTGGGAAACATCTCAGGGAGACCATCTTTTCAGCATGAGCTGCCTGCTCTCCTTGCTTTCACTCTGCAATAAAGCTGTGCTTTCCTTCATCACACCATGTGCCTACGGTTAGCTTTTACAGTAATTGAGCAAGCAAACCTGATTTAAGTTTGGTAACACATTCTCTGAGAACATATGTGTTACAATAATTTTGTTTGAATTTTTGTCTTTGTTGATATAAATCAAAACATACTCCTGATCAACTCCCTTATAGAATCAGTGAATAGTTTGCCCAAGGGACAATACACATTTATTAGTCCTAATTATGTTAGTCCCTTTGCTAAGTGATGGGCATACAAAAACAAACTAGTAAATACAAAAGTGAGATACAAACTTATGGAGATGGTAATAGATATTGTACATGAAACAATAAGGGAGAGGGGCAGTAGGGTGGCCAAGGATATGGACAAATCTGTTCTACTAGAATAGCATTAGGTGGTATATTTGCATACCCACCATAATACACCCAGGAGCCAACTCGGGATAATATCGAAGAAGAGAGAATATCTCTTATGATCTGATGTTGGGTGGCTGGTATGCAACCTTACAGTTCCAATGTGGTCAGGAACAATTTGAAAAGAGCAACATCAAAACCTGATCTAGTAATGGATCCTCATTGATTTCAGGGGAGGGAAAACACAGCTTATGGAACACACTTAAGTAGTCTCGCTGGTTGCTTTTAAAAGCACATGAATAGAGACCAGCAGTTAGTGTAATGACCATGTCACTTGACTCCCATGTAGCCAATCATGGTTCAAGTCCCGGATCTGGTGGCTTAAACTCATGCTGGGTGCATGTGCATGCATGCATGCCCAAGATTCTGAGAGATGAATGGAGGAGAAGGGATCCAGGCATGGCTATCCCCCCTGAGGGTGGATTTCTCACTTTTTGTTTCCCTATCTCTCTCTGTCTTTCTGGTGAGCACACACACCCATGAATACATTTAAGTACCCATGCACTTAGAAAGAGAAGTCTAGTAAAATGGACTTATGGGGAATTGGGGGAAGGAATCAGGAGAAAAAAAAAAAGCAAAACATTTTAGGGACTTAAAAATGGAAAATTAATTGTTGATGATAATGTGTTTGGTAGTATCTTTGAATGGACAAATATTCAGTATATTCATAGTGAGAAAATTCATTTTGTATGCTATAAAGATGTATAGAGCTTAAATGTAAAAAGAATTTAATTAGAAATTTTTAAATTATAAACATTGTCTTAAAACAGCAATGG